CAACCGCCAAGACCTGAGTAACAGATACCAGCCTACACGATTTTTACCAGCCTACAAGGTAGGATGTGGAAAAAGGCAGAGTTTAATGTGGGGCAATCCGAGCCCGTAGGCTCGGCAAAAATTTCCCCGTAGAACACGCATAAACAGGTTCGGGTCTGTCTACCTCCCCGGATGAGACTTTGCCCTTCGGCATAGCCTCGTCCGAGTTCCTCTCTGCTCGAAGTCAGAGAGTTCGACGGCACAGCTGGAATCTGTTCCAGCTAGTGTATTTACTAACGTCCTCACGCGATCAGATGTGGTACAAGGCCGGGTTTAATGTGGGGCAATCCGAGCCCATAGGCTCAGCCAAAAATTCCCGGTAGAACCCGCATAAACGGGTTCAGGTGTGTCTACTTCACCGAACAAGACTGCCCTTCGGCCTAGCCTCGTCCAGGTTCCTCTCTACTCGAAGGCAGGGAGTGCGACAGCACAGCTGGAACAGATTCCAGCTAGTGTATTTACTAACCCCCTAACGCGATCAGATGTGGCACAAGGCCGGGTTTAACGTGGGAATATCCGAGCCTGTAGGTTCAGTCAAAAATTCCCGTAGACCCCGTATCAAACGGGGTCGGGTAGCTGTTTCCCGAGACGAGACACTGCCCTTCGGCATAGCCTCGTCTGGAGATCCTCACTGCTCAAAAGCAGAGAGTTTGACCAGCACAGCTGAAAAAGATTTCAGCTAGAGTATATAGCAGATACATGTGGCACAAGTCCGAATTTAAACTGGGGTTCCCGAGCTCGTAGGCTCGGCCAAAAATCCACGTAAACCCCGCATAAACGGAATCGGGTCTGTCTACCTCCCCGAACGAGACTGCCCTTCGGCATAGCCTCGTCCGGGTTCCTCTCTTCCCGAAGGCAGAGAGTTCGACTGAATAGCTGAAAAGATTTCAGCTAGACGGTATTTACTAGCCCCCACCCACGAGGGTAGATGTGGCACAAGGCCGAGTTTAACATGGGTTATCCGAGCCCATAGGCTCGGCCAAAAATCGAGATCGGGTTGGTCAATCTCCCCGAACGATACTGCACTTTGGAAGGGGCTCGTCCGGGTTCCTCTTACTCAGAGGCAGAGAGTTCGACCATCAAGCTGAAAAGATTTCGACAATATCTACTAACCTCCTCCCCCCACATAAGGGTAGATGTGGCACAAGGCCGAGTTTTACGTGGGTATTCTGAGCCCGTATAAACGGGTTCAGGGTCAGTCCACCACCCCGAACGAGACTGCCCTTCAGCGGAGCTTCGTCCTGGTTCCTCTCTGCCCGAAGCCAGAGAGTTCAACTGTATAGCCAAAAAAAAAAAAGATTTCGGCTAGGATATTCAGCCCCCACCACAAGGGTTGCATGTGACACAAGGCCAGGTTTAACGTGGGTTCTCCGAGCTCGTAGGCTCGGCCAAAAATATTCCCTTCCGAAACCGTATAAACGGGTTCAGGGGCAGTCTATCTTCCCGAACGGCGGAGCCTCGTCCGGGTTCCTCTCTGTCCGAAGGCAGAGAGTTCGACAGTTTAGCCGAAAAGATTTCGGCTAGAATATTTTGCCACCCCCACACGAAGGTTGCATGTAGCACAAGGCCGGGTTTAACGTGAGTTCTCCGAGTCCGTAAGCTCGGCTAAAAAAAAATGCCCGTAGAACCCGCATAACGGGATCGGGTTGGTCAATCTCCTCGAACGAGACTCTGCCCTTCGGATGAACCTCGTCTAGTTTCCTCTCTGCTCAGAGCCAGAGAGTTCGATCATCTAGCCGAAAAGATTTTGGGTCGTCTCTGTAGTCCGTTAACTTAGATACTTATTAGTAGCTACTACCTGTAGTGTAGTCCCTCATGGGGGTGACAGGTTATTCCATTACATCAGTCTTGTACCAATTTACGGTCTATTCTATGTTCAATTTCATTTTCTCTTGTAAATTTGTTATAACAGATCCATACACAGAGATATTTGAAGTCTTTAGCATTTACTAGTTCCAGATCTTGGATTTTAAAAAATAATTGCTCACAAAGCCACGTAAGCGGTTTTGAACTTTATCAATGTTATAAGCTGAAGATTGGGTAGCGCCAACCGAGATATAACAGAAATAATTCATTTCGTGTGATTAGGACGTTCGCTTTTCGACTATGATACCCGGGTTCGAATCTCATCAGGTAAGTTACTTCTTGATGTTACGGCTTGTTGAGGCAAAACCAGTGTGCGGCACCTTTGAGAAGTGCCTGAAGGCCATACCACGGGGTGACCCGAGCCTTGTTGGTGAAACTGGGTAGACGGAACTATTTAGGAGCCGTCGACGGTTGTGCCAGCACGAAGTCACAAGTCATCGTGACAGAGGGTTTGAGCGTGCTGGTCTTGTTCAGGCTGTTGGCCATGCCAGATATAACACGCTCTCTTCCAGAAACTGTAACTAAGATCTGCTCAGCATAGTTGCAGTATAAAGTACAGGTTGGCGTGTGTGTTGAATAAACACAAACATTCTGGAACTGCCCTAGTAGACAGGGATTCGAGCGGTCATCCTCATAGTTAAATAGTCGCTTGACCGAATTACTTATGTCTTTCCAGCACACTAGAGAATTTATAGAATTAAATGAAGAAGCCAGTTTTTCTTTTTCTTTTCTAATTGTTTCTTTGTTATAATTCATTGTGAATGTCTTTTTAAATGTCTTTAGTCTGGGAGGAAATATTTGTTTTCTCATTGTTTGCAAAAGAGTGTCAAGTACCCGCGTCATTGTTACTGTTTTTTTTAGAACCTCGTAAACAAGGCGACAAACGATTTTCTATAAATTCAAGTTGATGTTATTTTGAAAGAGATGGTAATGACAACGAAACCGTCAATATTTATTATCTGCTTCTCATGTGGTGTTGCAGACACGAGAGAGAGAGAGAGAGAGAGAGAGAGAAATATTGAGTGAAATTGTGAGTTTGGGGAGGGGGGTCAAATGTAGATCAAATATAGATCGAAATTTGACAAAGATTAAGCAAAAGTCAGAAAGTCTTTCTGGTATGGGATTTTTTTTTTTTTTTTTTTTTTTTTTTTTTTTTTAAACAGCTGTGTGTAATGTGTCCAGACAATTTAGTTGGAAAAAAAAAATAAGAATTATGTTTTTTTTTAATTTTTTTTTTACTTCGTATTCTTGCTGATTGGTAAAAAAATAAATGTTATAATTATTATGGCCTGAAATGGAAAAATGAGATGGAATTTTTATTAACGCACCAGTAAGAAAAGACCTGGAAAAAAAGGCCGTTAACTACATTCTTCCGCACTTAGCTTTCCGCAGCGAATGTATGCAAACAACGCAAGTAATGGCTGCCGCCAATGATGCGAATGAATCCGAAGTTTTACTTTCAATAACTCCAAAACGGTAGATTTTATCAAATTTATCAAGCCAGATTCAAATGAAGCATGTACATTTACACTTAAATGTAAGTATTCGGGAAATTTTTAATGCAAACTGAGCACGGGTCCTAATCTGCAAATTAACCGAAAACCTCTTATAATAATCTTTCGAAAGATTCCTCTGATACATTAAAATAGTGCACTTCAAAAAATTCACTTGTCTTGCGCACACAATATATTTCTCTTGCACAATAACCGAGACAATCTGAGATGAGTAAGATCAGTAAAAAAAAGCCGTTAATTACGTTCTTCTGCGCTTAGGCTTTCCTCAGCAAAAGTATGTAAGCAACGCCAATAATGGCTGCCGCCAACGACGCGAATGAATTCAAACTTTTACTGTCGATAACTCCAAAACGGTAGATTTTTATCAAATTTATCAAGTCATTTTCGAATGAAATAAGTATATTTACACATAAATATAAGTATCTGGGAAATTTTTACTGCAAACTGGGCGCGGATCCTAATCTGCAAATTACCGGGTTAATTAGTAAGACCATTACATCTGCAAAAAATTCTTACAATGTAAAAATATTTCATGGCTTTAAATAATCTGCAAACGGTAGATAAGCCATAAAAAACGAAAATCAATCAATCTTGACCTGACACTCCAAAATTCAAATATTTCTCTATTTCAAAGGAGCATTTCTATCTCCTTTCCTTTCTCTCGCCTCAGGTTTCTTCCCTCACACCCTCAAATATATTTTTTTTATGTACCTGAGTGGGTGTGCACGGTTGAGTAAGTGGCACTGGGAGGTGCAACTTTCTCGACGAAGCCATGAAAAGAGTATCGATTTTAAATCTTTTTTTTTTTTTTTTTCCTTCGTTTTAGTATTTTTACTTTTATGCAGAATTTACGAGTAAAATATTTTGACACTTGAGAAATTTAGATTCATGTAAAAGCAGACAGACCAGAAATTGGGGATGAGTCAGCAAGGTGAGAGAAAGAGAGAGAGAGTATATATATATATATTAGATAGATAGAGAGAGAAAGAGAAAGTACAGATTCCTACCCTTCACAAGAGATGAGTAGGGGAATATAAAGAATCCAAATGGAATTGAAACTCGGTCTTCCGATTAACAATTCCGAGCCATTAACCATTACACCACCTGCACATCTAAGCTTACAGCACCAGGTATTTCCAGGTGGTCATTCATCTAGGTACTGACTAGGATTTTCATATCTATCTATCTATCGATCTCAGTCTTTTTTCATATCTATCTATGTGTGCTTGTGTGTGTACATGTTTTTTTTCAGATTATGATCTTTCAATTTAGAATCCGTTCGAACAGAAGAACGGTGTCAATTGATTGATTTGCTTTTTACGGCTCATCAACCTTTTGCAGGTTATTTAAAGCCAGAAAATATTTTTAGATCGTAAAATTTTCTGGAGGAAATAATAATGATTTACTGATACAAGTCCTACTAATTAACCCATAGCTATGAGGAGGAAGGAGAAGAGATGGATCCGGATATTTGTCAAGGATATTTACGCATAATTGAACCTGACTGACTGGGACTGGAACTCGGTTCTCCGATTTCCAATGCCATTTACATCCATTTCCATTACATCACCTGCGCATCCAAACAGCCCCCGGTGTTTCCAAGCAGTCACCCGTCTAGGTACTGATCAGGCTCGACATTGCTTAACTTTGGTGATTGTACGGGAACAGGTGTTTCAACGTGATGTGGCCGTAAGGCGGACAATAAAAGAACAGGGAGTCGGCAAGACAGAGGATGGCGATTGACGTCGCATTTAAATTTTTGAAGATTGTAGTTTGCAGGGAAGTAAGAAATCGGAAGGGATTTGCTTATCTTTGGCAATTGTTCAGGAATCAGTATTTCAACCTCACAGATGAATGAGAAGACTTTAGTGGGAAGAAGTGAGGAAGGGACAATAAAGGAACAGGGTTCAAGAAGACAGAAGATGACGATTGACGTTGCATTTAAATTTTTGAAGATTGTAGTTTGCAGGGAAGCAAGAAATCGGAAGGGAGTTCCACAAGTGAGAAGTGCAAGAAAAGAAACTATTAAAATATAACAGCCGGTTGCATCTAACTTGTTCAACAGTAAAACGGTGAGACATAGTTGCCAATCTAGTAGAACGCTTAAATTCGCTTCTTTTGATTTTGTCGAGAATCTCAAGATTATACAGCAGAAGCACCTGACCAGATGTAACAGAAATATTCAGTGCTCGAACGAATTATAGATTTATAAATGGGCAAGATGGGCTCTGACGAAAATCGTCTGGCAGGACACAGCGAACGAACCAACTTTCCTAGCAGTATATCTAGCAATTAATTCAATATAATAACTCCTCTTCATGTCAGTGAAAAACAGGAGTCCAAAAGCGCGCAATGGATTCCCCCCTTAGAGGTTAGTATCAACCATGGTAATGGAATGCAGTAAAGGGTTTCTATAACGGTTAAAAGTTTTCTTTTGGAAGCGTTAAAATTTACAAACAATCCCTTGCCTCAGTTACCCACTGATCGGAGGTTATTTTCAAGAGCATCTACCAGTTTTACTTTGTCCGACCTATCAAACGTACTATTAAGACAAGAGCAAATAGTTGTCTTCAGCATAAATATAGTGTTAGAAAGCGATTACATCGGGTAGAGAAGAAATCTTGGTAAAAATAAATATTTTTACATCCGTTACCCCTCCACTTATTTAATTTTACGAAATTTCGAGAAATTCATTTTTTTATCGCTTACAGTTTATATTAGTTGTAAGAACAAGTCCTCGGAGAATTTAAATCAATGTTTTTCGTCAAGCAAGACCCCAGTTACAGAGCATCTGCTCTGACTCGTAGTATAAAAAATTCAGTAAAACGAAGACATTATTTAATTAGAAATGTTTTTAATTGGTTTTATGAATAAATTATATTACGGACACTTTTCTTCAAAAAAACAAAAAAAAACAAACAAAAAAACAAAAAAAAAAAAACTTTTGGATGAATAAGAAATTTTTCCAAAAATTGTTTTTATTTAAAATTTTTTTTATTTTTTATTAATCTATAAAGCTTTAAATCATTTAAAATTCAGTATTAATTTGTAGTGGTCAAGTGATATTGTTAATAAATAAAAAAAAAACTGTATTTATTAATGAGAAATTAAAAAACGCACAATTCAGCTATCGCCAGTATTTTGAAAAGAATTGATTTTTGTTTTTTGGTATAAAACGTACCCATTTTTGTAAATATGGACGCCCATGCAAGACATTACCAGAAAGTAAGAGTGATAACTACAGTAAATTTAAAATTTATTGATAATTTTCTAACATTTCTTCAAGCGTCTTTTTAAGACCATAAAGCCAAATTAGTTTAAATTCAATATTAGAATGCTTAAAATAAATTTTTAAATATAAAAAATTATATAAAAAGGCTTTTACGTTGTATTCGTCATGTAATTACAATTATCTCCCCAGTTAAATTTACGAAACGCCAGGCTGTCTATAAATGTGTAAAAACTCATAAAAACACCCACATTCGTGTTAAAAATGCTTTTTTTGCGTTATCTCTCTATATAAAACAGAGTGTGTGATACCTTTTGACTAGAGATTCATCCAACCGATTTTGACCAAGCTTGGCACATACATTGTACAATGTAAGAGATAGATTCTTAGGTACCTCCACGAAATCGCTAAAAAAAGAGCATAGCTTGATGAAAAAGACGCCAACCTTGCCGAAAACAAAATTTTATTGTTTAAATGCTTATGTTATTATTAAGAGGAAAGACCAAAGTTTTTTTTAATTATTTAAAAAAAAATTTTCCTTCTTTTTAGAACATTCTAAATTTTGATTAAAAAAAAACATTGTTTCTATTTGTATCAGCGGAACTAGTAAATAACAGACAATTTTTAGCACATTTTTTTTGGTATGACACACATTAATTTGAAAAATCGTGCAAAAATAGAAATAATTGTCGGATGTTAATGAAACTTTCAGGAACTATTCACAGATGATCGAAATTATTATAAATATGTTTTTTTTTTTATTAAAGTCATGGTAGAAATATTTTTTTAAAATATTTATTAACCCCCCCACCCGCCATAACTAATTTTATGAAAACGCTAGAAATTCGATCGCATCGGGTTTAGTGATTACAATCATTAAAAGCACAGGGCTTTGAGGAATGCAAATCATGTTTTTTTTTGTTTTTAATTGGATCCGCAGTACCTGAAAATCAGCTCTGAATTGTAACATACAAAACTCAATAAAACAAAGATATTATTTAATTTCAAATGCTTTTATTTGCTTTTAGTTGTTTTTATGAATATGGACAATATTTTCTGAAAGCAAAAAATTTTTTTCGATGAATTTTTAATACAATTATTTGTTATTTCTTTAACTATAATAGATTTTACATTTAAGTTGTTAAAATATTATAAAATTAGTTAAAAGCCGCATCGGCTTTTCTAAGTGTCCTTATGAGATAGATCTTTGTAAATTGTATCATTTTGACTAATCAGAAGATCCGCAGTAATTAAGAAATATAATTTTGTGCTTATAACCGGGCTGTAATTATAAAGTACGGAAGACCAACCAAAATATAATTAAGTTGCGTTATTGGAGTTAAATGTAAAAAATCGAAAATTTAAAAAATCAATAATCGATAAAACCGACCAAAAATCGATAAATTCAACCTTTTTTCCTCCAATTTCGTTCAAGCTCGGTATGTAGGTTACTTACATCATGACAGACTCAACGATACCTCATTTTTATTTCTAAGTCACAGCGTTTAACGAAAAACTGCGAAAAACGAAAAATCGAATTCAACACAAATTTTAAACTAAAAAACTAAATTTTCAAGCAATCTAATACAAACTTGACTCACTTGTAGCCAACAATAAGTTGATTGTTTAAGAGCCATTTAATTTGATAACTGCGTCCACCCATATAGCGAAAACCCGCGTAAATAGCAAAAAATGTCAATTTTTACTGGTTTCTTATTTTTCGATGATCTTTCAACTAATTTTCATCAAACTTAACAATTGTTTTATAAATGTATCCTCTTTTACATCCCTGGTAGCACACCGACAAAATGAATTTCAAAAACTTCAAAGTAATTGTGGTCAGAAGTGGGTCTTCATTTTGCCTGTTTTACCTCTTCATGTCCTCGGCTAACTTTGATTGAATAAATACAGACTACTTCTGCCAGTAACTACATTAATTCAAAATGTTTTTTTAATGAAAGTACTTTAAAGTAATTGAAGAAGATAGACTGTTACATATAAACATGCTGTTTTTGCTCCATTCTAATTGAATGATTTTTCTGATCGACCAGCTTGGTATGGCTGCTAGTTTTAAACTTAAAGTACGTAATATGTTTCAGTTGAGATAAATTTAACTTTAATTTAGCTAATTTTTCACAACCTTTCTGAAAAGCATACTTTATTTTTGACAGGGTTTTTTTTTATAAAGAGAGAAGTGTATTGTGTTGATAGATTTGTCTATATGGACGATTTCAACGATTTTACTGATAATCAGAAAAAAAATCACTATAATCAATTTAAATTTGGTTTGAAATACAACAAAGTATTCTGTTTATAAGAAATATGATATTTAATCTATTAGCTTGGTTTGGTTTGTTTTACGGCATATCAACACCTCTATGGGTTATTTAATGCCGACAAAATTTTTATTGCTGCTAATATTTTGTTTTCTCAAAAAATCTATTTCTTGTAATATTTTTCCTTCAAAAATGTATTGCTGGTAATAATTTTTTTTTTCAAAAAAGTATTGCTGGTAATAATTTTTTTTTTCAAAATGTATTGCTGGTAATAATTTTTCCTCAAAAATGTATAGCTCGTAATATTTTTCTTTCAAAAGTGTATAGCTGGTAATATTTATTTTTTAAAAAACATTGTTGGTAATAGATTTTTTCTTCAAAAATTTATTACTGGAAATAATTTTTTTTTTTTTTTTTTTTTTTACAAACTATTTCTGGTATTAAAACCTGTTTTTACATATTTCATTTTTTTTTTTGAAAGTTACGGGGTTGACTACAACTTCTATAGCTGGGACCCTAACAAGAGATACCACCCCGGGTCAGGGTGGACCTGGGAACACCAGAAATTAATAGGTGATTCCACGCTCCTCAAAACCTCCTGATTAGAGGCCTTGCTGCTGGATGTAGTTTATCGTCTTACCCAGGACGCGGATGTAGTTTATCGTCTTACCCAGGACGCTCTATCAGTTTGGAATTAATACTAAAATAAACACTTCAAGTAAGACTTCATTTTGTATTAGGTTGGTGCAAAAATAATGACGTAATAATGTCGTTTTTTGACGTATTTTTTAAAAAAAAAAAAACGACATTATTACGTCATTATTTTGCACCAGCCTAATAAAGCTGCATTTTAAACTATGGGTATTTTTTAAAAATCCGTTTATCGTAAGCAAGGCAATAACGACACTATGAAGTAAGGGGGCTATAAAAAGTGAAAGAGAAGGAAAAGATGTTAGAAGGAACTGGAAACAAGGGATAAACCTCTACGCCTAACCAATAGACAAGGGAGGAGTGTGAACTGGACCATAGGTTAACTTATTTGTTATATTTACTGCTTTTGACGGTACCTGGGAAAGGGTCTGGTCATTCTTCGTGGGAACAGATAAAAGAAACCTCCCAATTATTTACCTATCTATAAGACAGCTAATACGAACTTTAAGCTATTACCTATGTGGTCTTTGGTACCCG